ACTATTACAAAACCACTCTTTACTCTAGAATGGAAATATTTTTAAAAATCTTAAATGTTGAAAATATGGTTTTCAGTGGCATTGAGAAAAGGGAGGGAGGGAACATGCTGCGGTTTCGGTTGAAGGTGACATTTAACCATATATACCTCAGCAACTAGCACTGTGCTGGATCGTTGCATTAACAATGGCAGCATGGCGAGATCAAACCAAATTTGTGAAATGAAGAGAGGGGGGGAAAGAAAGTAACACTTTTAATTGCTGTCATTTTAGGTATATTAATTATCTTAAAAATGGGAAAGATTTGTTCTCCATCCCTCAGTATGGAAAATCCAGTATGAAAATAGAGGCAAGTAGAAATATGGCAGATCTTGCGTGTTAATTGTTATTTTTGCCACGTGTTTTGTAACTGAAAGTGTGATCAGGCTTGGAATAAAGCTTTCAATGGCTGAAGGTAAAACAATGTGCAGTGAACTATATTCTTTCAGTATTATCCAGTGTGTTTGTGAGTCTGCCTGTTTTGATTTAAATCCATGTGTATAAATATATATTCCACTTAAATTAAAGCATACTCAGGACAGAAATCCTAGACACAGAATGCAAATGATGGTTGCCAAAGTTGCACGTTATTGCAGGAACACAAACTTTCAGCTATTTTAAGTAGTTTAATTTTATTAATAAAACTGGGAAATGCAGTTTCCAAATAAACATTTGTTTGAAAAGTATTGAAACAGAATCCAGCCTTCAGATTTAAGGGATTAATTTCAATGGCCATTTTGATGATTTCATTATAATAGAAGGGAAACTTCAATGTAAAAATCAAAATACAAGCAAACTGAAGTACTTAATAAAATCAAGATGAAATGTTTCAATTACACCTTATAGATTTGGACAGAATTAATGTGTGATAGCTTATGTATTTTATCTATTTGTATATTATTTAGTGAAATGAATAGTTTCTAACAGCAGACTCTTCAAATGAAAATTTTTGACCAGCTCTCAAAAACCCATTTTTATTAGTTTTACTTTGGCTTTTCAGAGGCTTAATCTTTAAGTGTATTTTGAAAGTGGTAGTATCTCTATGACCACTCATTATTTGGCAGTAAGTTACACCACAAGCTTCTGTTCATTGCTGCTCACTTTCTATACTTCCTGTGAAGGTAGGCAATTTGCAATTTAAAATTTCTCTTGATGTTAATAAAGGGCACTATATACGTTGAGAAATGAGCATCTTCTGAGGGCCATTCTTTTTTACATTCATCTCTAAATTACATTTTTGCTGTGCTAGAATTCAAACCCAAGTGCTAAGGTGTTGTCAAAAAATGGTAGACATAACACAAGTCTCCTTAGTTCAGACCCCATCCATGTGTAAGCATCTTCCAAAATAGCTATGGAGCCAAAATAGCTATGGAAGATGATAGGTTCAGACTGATGTATTGTTCATTACTGGTTTGGTACAAATTATGTCCCGTTTCTATCAATCCTGACCTTAAAACTGTCCCCTTCAATAACAACTCCTGCACGGAGTTTAAGCGTCTCTTGGTGTTCAGATGTGAATTTAGCATTTGCTGAATGTCCTCCATATGTTGCATCCATTTTACACCAGCTATTACAATGGTGCCTCTTCAGCAAAGAGGCCAAGTTATTTCTACAGCTTGACAGGAAGATGATTTTACATGCATCTCTCTCCCATTTGCAAAATGTGGAATCTGAAGGGGTATGGCACCTTTCAGGAGACCAGTGAGTTTTAAAAGGTTTCAATGTGCGCTTCATTGTTTAATATACAATTGCCATCCTATTTCTCTCTTTGTTAGGCTTCAATGGACCATGGAGCATGGGAGATTACATGTATTGCAAAAAGTAGTTTTTAAAACCTTTCTTACTAAGCTACGTTACCTCTGCCTAGCGTGTGCTGAAGTACAAGTGGAACGCAGAAAGGTGCTTTAATAGTTAAGTTAATTCTTGCCGTTGTCTTCTGTGGATGAGACCTTTAAAATCCTTTGACAGATATCAAATTTAATAGTTTCCAAAAGCTTCTGTGGATTGTGAGCGTGCTTCACTCCCAATAATGTTGAATATTACTGGTACAGATTGCAAAGAGTCGTCTTTAGCATTGAACTGTACACAGTAGAAAGACCTGCCTATTTCTCTGTTCTCTACAGATGGCGATCGTGGGCTGCTGCTACCATTGCTGCCTTTACTGGGTACTTCAAACCCAAAGGGATGCGGCTTAGCCGTTGGAGGGAGAGAGGGGGAAACATGCTGTCGTTAGTGCTGGTTAGACCCGTTGCTGTCTGCTTGGGTAGATACCTGTTAACAGTTTCTCAGTAGTGAGTTTGTTGCAGCACAGCAGAGAGCTTTGGAGGAGAGGGAATTCGTGAATATTGTTCTCTTTTTTCCTTTCTTCTGCTTTTAGTCCACAGAACAATCTCATTTATCCTGCCCAGTAATACATAATATTTTTCCACCCTCCAGCTCCTGTAGGCTCTCTTACCCCTTTCTCCTAGCATGTGCGATGGGGCACTGACCCGCTGCTGTTGTCATATGCCCCGCTCTTCTTCCCGCCCCCAGCCCTTTTGTTTTTCTGTTCAGGCCTCATCATCATTTTCTTCCTTTCCCTAAATTGTGATGTTCTATCTCACACCCAGTAGTTACAGCTGTAGCTTTCCCTCTGGCTTCTTTAACCGTTTCCTACAAGTAACACAACCACTAAGGCTGCTGCGATAGCAAAAATTGACGCTGTTGTCAGACAAGGTAACACAGGAGACTGCAAGCCTGATTTCAGAGCCCCTACAGCTTGCATCGGTTTCCTCATAGCAAAACTTTTAAGAGGGGGCAAAAAAGGGCAAGATTGTGTCTTAAAAGATGTACTTTTGGTGGCAGCAGCAGCACTACAGAATATACTAATAACCGTGGCTATCTCTTTCCTCTTGGCTTGTTTGCTCCTACTTGCTCTTCCCCTTGCGCTCCAACCCCAGCAGGTTGGAGAAAGCTGGATTTCATCAGTTTTCAGGGCATACGTTTATATGCCATACCTGTTGGAACTGCATCATTTTTGTTGCCAGTTGCTCTTCCTATTAATACCGAGCTCCTTACCCTGCCTCACATGCCGTTTATACTTGCCTAGATGCTTTCACTACTGCTTCTTGGTCCTTGTTTCACCCTATATTGAAATATATGTCTGTATTGCTATGGGAGAGGGGAAGGTGAACCTTTTAGTCATAAGGTTCCTCGTGTATGAAGAAAGCAATTTTCTTCTCTTGCAGGCCATTGGTTGTGAGGTGGTAGAGGAGAGGATCTTGAGGAAAGTGTCCGTATCTTTTTTTGAAAAAGAGTAGTCTTCACTTGTACTGTGACCTTCCTCTCAAATGCTACTTTCTTACCTCATCAGGAAAACTGATCAATCCTTGCTGGGCTGCTAGGACCCTACTTGCACAGGCATACTTTCTTGTTCCTGAAAATTACCATCTCTGTCCTCTTTGATGCATGGAGCCTGGAGTTGTCCTTTGGAGTTCCACTGCAGAGTCCCTTTGCCAGGTATGTTGGTCCAGGGGATGATTTTGGGAATTTTGCTAGGCATTGGGGAGTGTCTGGCCCAGGAAGCGAAGGCAAGGAGTGCTGCAGAGCATCGGGGAGATCTCTGTACTGCCGACATTCATGAGTTGACTGATAGAGGTGTGTGTGGTGGTACCTGTCGGCTCTGCTCATCTTGCTTGACTGAGCAGATGACAGACCCCACTGCTGACAGCAACCAAACAGGGTCCTCCCGGGAAGGAGGAAATGGCAGCAGGGACCACAGGCGGTGTAGTGCAAGGATAATTCAGGGAAAGGAAGGGAACACGATCACACTGATACCTGGACCTCCTGCTCTTTGACTCCCTCCTGTTCGCCATCCTACTGTCAGAGTTGGATATCGGCCATATTAAACGTATTTAGTGATCCCATCATCACTGGGCTTGGCAGAGAGTGATTTCCTCCATATTGCCTCAAGAAGTTTACTGCTGGGGCAGTCACTGCTCATCTTGAGTCTAGCCCCTGGAGCAGGTTGTTGAGACATAGTGGCAGCCATAAGAAGGGCCTTTTTGTGGTGCCTTCTCCACTAGGGATTCCAAGATCTTCCCCATCGTTTGATTCTAGTCCCCGTGGCTAGCATCAAGAGACAACTTCCCTTAGTGGATGTTGGTTGAAAGTTTTGTGACAATAACAGAAAAATACAGAGATCATCTCCAAGGAGGCTGAGGCTACGTGTCTGATCCCTTGTCACTTGATCTTGCTGTGGAAGCAAGATGATCATCTTTGCTAAGCTGCACGTTTGCTCTGGGAGCAGGGGACAACCCCTGGATTATGTTAGTTAGATAAAATCGAGGTGTTAAGGCTGCTTGTGAGCCTGTCTCTACTCCTTGGCTGCTGTGCCTGAGGTGGTAACCTCATGTGTAGGCTCTAGGGTGGCAAGGCCCATAAGCCCGAGCATAGCCCTCGCTGTTCCAGCAGATGGATACAGGCTAAGGCGAATACGTTCTTTTAACTCCAGGTTAAGGAGGTGTCTAGGTTTGAGTTAGGGGAGAGATGCACCTCTAAGGGAAGGTGGTGACTGGCTCTTGGCAAATGTGAGGTTTACAGCATTTTCCTTTAGACACCAACGTCTTTGACAGCAGAAGAGGAAAGGCGAAAATTTGCAACTCTTGTATATGGTGATGGGCCTGCAGCTTTGGTATCTCTTAGGATCCTTAGAGAGGAAATACGGGATACTTTATGACAGTAGGAGTGTGGAGGACGCTGCTGAGCCTGTCCCTGAAGGTCCCTCCTTCAAATGCTGCTAAAACGGAATGCAGGGTTGATAGGTGAGTCAGATGCTCTACTGCTCCCTGGCATTTCCGTATGACTTTGATACGATCCTCGTCACTGACTGTAGTTAGTGACTATATTAGGGGAAATTA